ATTTAAAAAGGAATTATGAATATTAGATATTTAATTAATAGTATTATATGTAAAATAATATGTTAATTAGAAAGTAATAGAAATAATAATAAAATAATGAAAAAGTGAAATAGAGAGTGTGAATAGTAATTGGAGAACTACTATTCAACTCGAGTAGAGGGAGATTTGGAGGTGGATTGGAGTGTCCATTCTCTATTTTATTCTTCAAATATAGAGTATGGAAAGTAAAATAGAGATGGGTTGGAGATGGTCTTAGTGTTTTATTTAAAAATATATAATTAGACTGGTTTAAGAGTCGCCACTTAATTTTTAAAGGAAAATTAAGAAAAACTGATTTTTTTCAGGATATTAAAAATAGAAAATCTAATGAAAATAATTAAGGGGATTCGAGGTTCATATTATCATTTCGGGAAGGGTTTGAAAGCATCCGAAATGCCCGCTAACATGCGGTTATCCGGTAATTAATTATTTGGCTAAAATAATTTAACTTAAGTTGAAATTGCAAAATTTATAGTTAGAACCGTTTTAAAAGGAAAAAGGGGAGAAATACGGGAATACTTATCTAAGTGAGATAATTTGTAAAATTATTCTTCAAGTTCATTTAAAAGACCGATTTAGTTAAATTGTTAAGTCAAAATGGGTGTCTTTTGGGGATTTAAATTTTTTCGACCTTAAGATTATTTAACAAGTAAACAAACATAATCAAAATGAAAAGGGAAAGAGATTTGGGCCCAAATCTGGTTTACCTGTCCGCCTGGGCCAGTATTTGGGCCCATTTTTATTTTGGGCCTTTGGCCCAATTTTTCACCTATCCTAAATTCTAGCAAGATAATAGACAAGTGGGCTTAGGCCCAAAAGTAACGAAATACAATTTGAATTAAGAATAGGCCAAAAAGTGGTAAACAATTAACTAAAAAATAAGTTCAGGGGGGTAATAGGACCTTAGTAAAGGTTAGGTGTGTCTCAGGGATTTTGGGCATAGGCTGGGGGGGTACTTATGCATTTTCCCTATTATTTTCTTCCCATTGTTATTTTTGTTTAATTATATTACAAATAATACTAACAACAATTTCTTTTTTTATTAATGTAAAGATAATTTAATATAACGTAAATTCCCATCTTCTTAGCACTGCCAATTGACAAAACTAATTAAGAAAATTGATATTAAACCTAATTCAATAATCACTCTAATAAGAAAAAGTACTAGGCCAGACACAATTTCAACAGGACTAGATCAATATTTTCATTTATAAATACTAATTTCAAAGGGCGATTCCAAATTCTATAACAAAACGTTTAATGAAAAGTAAAACTTTCAAATGTCAAATGTAAAATTTGATCTATAAGTTTATGTTTTGTATTTTTTTATTTTGAATTTTGTAAAAAAAACAAAAAGATTCATACTCAATGTGAATATGGAATATCCAATTTTCATGTAAAATGTAATTTCAACTTCAAATAAATGAATGTTTGATATAATATCTAAATGTGTCCTTAAATTTAAGGTTGTGCAAAAATCTAAATCCATATATAATAATAAAGTTGAATATGAAAACGGTGAGGTGACGCTCTCTAAGGGCTTCAATCCTATTTATCTCTTTTTGTGGGTTTTTTGGCCTTTTTTTAATTTTAAAATACAAAAAAAATCGCCTACAAATTTAAATAACATTAAAGATAATCATATTTAATTATATCTTCATCAATAGCCATATTTAATTTATTTTGTCATGAATGTTATTATTCTCTTTTCCTATAATATTTATTAATTTCTCATCAATTATTACAAACCTTTTCATTTGATTTAAAAAGAATTCCAACAAATTATTCACGGTTTATATATTTTATTTCAAATTTGGGCTTGTAAAATTTTGTAAATATTATATATATAATTTTATTTTATTTATAGATAAAAAAAATTATTTATAATCTACTTTGTTAATATATTTTTAGTTAGTTTATAGTTTTCAATGTTTATATATTTTATTTTAAATTTGGGCTTGTAAAATTTTGTAAATATTATATATATAATTTTATTTTATTTATAGATAAAAAATTTTATTTATAATCTACTTTGTTAATATATTTTTAGTTAGTTTATAGTTTTCAATGTTTATATATTTTATTTTAAATTTGGGCTTGTAAAATTTTGTAAATATTATATATATAATTTTATTTTATTTATAGATAAAAAATTTTATTTATAATCTACTTTGTTAATATATTTTTAGTTAGTTTATAGTTTTCAATGTTTATATATTTTATTTTAAATTTGGGCTTGTAAAATTTTGTAAATATTATATATATAATTTTATTTTATTTATAGATAAAAAATTTTATTTATAATCTACTTTGTTAATATATTTTTAGTTAGTTTATAGTTTTCAATGTTTATATATTTTATTTTAAATTTGGGCTTGTAAAATTTTGTAAATATTATATATATAATTTTATTTTATTTATAGATAAAAAATTTTATTTATAATCTACTTTGTTAATATATTTTTAGTTAGTTTATAGTTTTCAATGTTTATATATTTTATTTTAAATTTGGGCTTGTAAAATTTTGTAAATATTATATATATAATTTTATTTTATTTATAGATAAAAAATTTTATTTATAATCTACTTTGTTAATATATTTTTAGTTAGTTTATAGTTTTCAATGTTTATATATTTTATTTTAAATTTGGGCTTGTAAAATTTTGTAAATATTATATATATAATTTTATTTTATTTATAGATAGTTACACTTTTCCAACTTTATCATAATTGTAGGATACTTATAAGACTAGAAGGTACTCTCTAATAGTGCATATAATTATTTTGTTTGTTCAAACATGTTTTTATTTGTATGCAACCTCAATTTTTATATCAATTATGTAGAAACTTTAATAGTGAATAATTTCGATCATTATTATTAATAGAACATAAGAAGAATTATTACTCAAAATCTTTACGTTAATAAAAATATAAATTGTTGTAACTATTATTTATAGATGATTAAAAAAATAAAATTGGGAAGAAAATAGTAAGTAAAAATTACACGTTATATTAAATTATCTTTACATTAATAAAAAAAGAAATTGTTGTTAGTATTATTTGTAATATAATTAAACAAAAATAACAATGGGAAGAAAATAATAAGTAAAGATTACACGTTGTATTAAAATAATAAGTATTAAAAATTATGATAAATTTTATAATAGTCATAACAGGAATTTACGCAATAATTACTATATTAGAATACTAGAAAAATTGATAAGTTCCTCGACATCTAATCATTGATTAAAATTTAAATTATTATTTTCTTCTGCGAAAGTTTAAGAGATTAAATTAATGTTTTAAAAAATAATATAACAAACTGATTAATTAATTATTTTCAATGATTAATAAGAAAATGTATATAGCAAGTACATGTATTATTATTACATTATTTATATCCACTCTATATTAAATCATTTTTCTATTATAGTTTGACGCAAATTTCAGAATGTAAAGAATGTTTTGGATTCGAAAAATAAATATTCAAAATATACTAACATGTCATTTAATCTTATGATATTTTACATTTCATGTGAAAAAAAATTAAATATTAATTTTTTAATATGAAAAATATTAATTTATTAATACAACATAAAAGTAATAAAGGACAATATATAAAAATATTTGAAGTATTTGATATTTTATTAAATTAAAATAATTCTAAATTAATATATAGCCGCGCAACGCGCGGGTACGTATACTAGTGAAGAACAATAATAAAGAAGAAGACAATTGAGTTAATATTTATTTTTTCCAAGTTTAATTTAACACATGACCAATTTTTATTGGTCAGTGCTGTCAAAAAGCTGCACCCACGCGCCTAAAATAGGTGAAATCACGGACTCAGCCACGTAGGCCAAAAAGTGGTAAACAATTAACTAAAAAATAAGTTCAGGGGGGTAATAGGACCTTAGTAAAGGTTAGGTGTGTCTCAGGGATTTTGGGCATAGGCTGGGGGGGTACTTATGCATTTTCCCTTTTCTTTTTATTAGAGATTAAAAAGAATAAATGACTTGAAACATCATAACTCAATTTCAAGTGGTGACTCCAACAAATAAATAAAAATAATCTTTATTCAATACCGTCACTTTAATTGGAAAATCCCTTCGACGCCGTTGAAAAAAAGGGTGTGACAATTAATAATGTAGAAGCAAACGAAAAAAGAAAAAAACTTTATATCTTCAATTTTAAGTCTTAGTCCATTTTAAGATAATTTTCAATAGAGCCCAATTTAATCTTCAATTTCAACCCGTTTTAAGACTCCTTATTTGCAATGATGTAATGTATGTTATGTATTGAATGTATGAATTACTATCAATTTTATATCTTATCTATCCATTTGTAACTTCCTTTTTTTAAATTTTCTTGAGTTAAAATTCAAATTGTGATCATAAAAAACTTAAATAACATTATATTAAAATTATTGAGATTAAGCGGCTCAAATTGGGAGAGTCAAGACCTAACCCGTTTTTAAGTTCATTTGAGCCCAAAGTAAACTTGAGTTGGTCAGGACTCAACTCAATTTCTATTTCAACCCATTTTAATATCTCTAATTTCAACTCACCACGCATATTTGACACCCCTAGGTACAATAATGCCTAGTCTATCTCAAAATTTGCTTGTGGCCATGAGTTTTTCTTGATGGGGGGTGTAATGACATGAATATCAGTTAATTAGCTAGATCAAATTATGAAATCTAAGATTGTGATTAGGAATTGGTCGATAATGAGGCTAAGATAATTCTTAGCAAGCATTTAGGTTGAAATAAAATGAACGAGTCTATATATTGCAGTTGTCAAGCAACATTAGCTGAAATATAATATTTTAATGACAAAATAAAAAATATATGTATTTAAGACACAGCATTTAGTGCTACTATTACATAACTTTCAGTTTAGAATTATGAGAAAATTCATGGAGGTGTTTTCGAGAGTCGATTACATAAATAAAGTAACCAGTCACTTAAAATATGTCATTTTTCATTTATTTAGACATCAATTTCCACTACATAAAATGTATATTCAACTTATTGAAATTGATGAAAACCTACACACATGTGCTTGTTGATAAACAAGTCCTGGCTTACAAAAATACCCTTTTGATGGACTACAATGCCTATCTTCTGAACAAATACACATCCCTTCTAAGGCACATCCATCACTTTTTAAACCTTCTTGTTTCCCAAACAATATTTCATCAGACCATTCACTAGAAAACATATTTTTAGGATCCAATTGTACCATTGCAGCAATAAACTTGTTAAATTTTGGATACTTTTTTTGTACATCAACAAATGCTACATTCCTATTTTTAGCCCAATGTGGCTTAGCCCCATACTTTAAAAATGCCATTTGTTCAATTTCCTCCCAAATATCTTGATTAAATCGCGGGGTCAAGGCATCACTAGCGCGATAGTAGTTAAAATCAACGACCACTGAATCTTCCCCTTGGCCTAAATATGCATCCGAGGCCTTGATAAAACGAAATAGAAATCCGTTATATATGTCAACCCCACACATGTTCTCTGGCTTGACTAAATCGCGTAATTTTTTAACATCACGTATGAAATTTCCGAATTTAGAAGATGGGAATATGGCTGTGGATTCATAGAAGAAGAGTCCATTGATTGTTGGATCCCAAGCACATGTGCTAGTGATGTCTATAGAGGATGAGTATAAACAAGAACCTGAAGATTGCATTTTGCCTTGATGGCCTACTACTGGATAACCAGTGAAGATTAATTTGTTGTTTTTTAATCCATTTGCTATCAATTTTTTGTATGCCACGAAAAAACTTGCCATTGTGCATTTTCCACCAACGTTTCTTGTATTTTCAAACCCCTTTTCTGCAAATCAAAAATAATATTACTATGAAAATTAGTTTTAATTTTTCACTGCACAATCAAATTAAATTGAAACAACACTTGAACCTTTCATTAGGTTGAGGCAGAGGTGTCAAATGGGCGGGTTGGGTTGAAATTGAAGATATTACAATGGATTGAATAGAATTTGGGTTGGGTCCTGACCAGCCCAAATTTACTTTGGGATAAAATGGGTTGGGTCTTGACCCGCTTAATCTCAATAATTTTAATATATTCTTATTTAAGTTTTATAACCACAATTTGAATTTCAACTCATGAAATTTTTTTTAAAAAAGTTACAAATTGATAGATAAATCCTAAAAGATATAAAATATTATAATAATTCATACATTCAAAACATACATTAAATCAATGCAAATAAAAAGTCTTAAAACAGATTGAAATTGGAGATTAAATTGGGTTTAATTGAGGATTCTCTTGAAATAGGCTAATGCTTGAATGGGTTGAGATTGAACCCAATTCAAATTATCTTGAGCCCAACCCTTAAAGTTCTGGGCGGATTACCTATAATTGGGCTCATTTTTGACACTTCTATGTTGAGGGATTTAAATGTTTGATTTTGAAAATAAGATGGGTTTGGCCTAGTGGTCAATGAAGTAGGGGTGAGAATCATGAGGGTGCGGAGAGCCGGAGACAAATATTCTAGGTGATTTTTTCCCATCTATCAACTTGTTGTTTTGGGGGGTTGTCCCCACTGGTTTGCAAAAGCAATGGGAGACTTGCTCCATAGAACCACTAGAGACTTTCGTCCTTAGTATTCTCTATGGGAAAAGGCGCTCAGGTGCACTTAAAGTCTTATTGCCTATATCTTATCTTAAGACGAAGTCGCCACACCCAGCAAATTGAGGTGAACAGACTGGACTGAACCTTCCTACGTCAAGAGTTTTGGCTCTTCACAAGAGAGCATTAGGTCGTAACACCGGAAGACTGCGCCGTTATTAGTTATTATTATAATGATATAATTTATTTGTATGGTTAGTCATCAGTGACATATATCTCGTGGAATTAGTCGAGGTGTGCGTAAACTGACCCGAACACCACAATTATAAAAAATAATAATAATAAGATGGATGTATCTGAGTGAAATAATACCTGCGGCTCGAACAGATTTGGAGACCAAAATAGGATTAGATTGAAATCCAAGAAAATCATTGAGAGCATCACCAGGTGTGTTTAAGGGGACTCTATTATCATATCTATACACAGCAATTTGTCTAGAAGGGTACCATTGAATATCACCAAATTCATTTTTCCTTGCATGTTCCATAAATTCATCTTCAATACCACTATCATTTGTGAAATTTAATGTTATACTTCTCTTGAATGCTGGCTCCAATTGAAACGTCACCTACACATTTACAAAGTTAATACTATAATGTTTACTAGTATTAAAAATAAAAAGTTCAAAATTAGGTATTTATGTACACATTTTTTAAAAATTTATCTAATCGTACGTATTGACATCCATACTACAAAAACGAAATGATACACTTGATTGAAGTTAAAGTTAAGTTATTCACCTAGATAACAAAGAATCAATTCCCACTAAAAATAATGTTTTCCTTTAGTAGCCATAAATAATGACATGATCCCAATCATTAAATACTATTTAGAGACGAATCAAAAATCAATTGTATCACTAGACAAATTTGTAATGGTGGGGATTTCAATCATTATTAATTATTTGTAAAATAGGACAGATTGTCGATCGGTACAACAATATTACAAAAAGCATCTCTTACTTTGTTTTCGTAAAAAAAAAAAAACATTTCTTTTAAACTATTTAGTTTAGTGTAAATAACCATATTTTGACTAATTTTCCCTTTCTCATATCATAAATTCTTTAATTTAGTTAACTAACTAATAAAAAAAAGTGTAAATTTGTAAAATTATAATTATTTACATTAAAAAAATCAAAATAAAGAAGATTTTCGTAATATTATAAACCACGACCAAGATCAATATAATTAAAAAAAAATCATTTCTTACCTTAGAAATGATGCCAAGCAATCCAAGAGAAACTTTAGCAGCATTGAAAAGTGGATCTTGTGGTGTCAATTTAATTACTTTAGCATAACCTTCATTTTCATTAGCCGGTACAATAAGATTAAGACCAATAACATGATCATGAATTGCTCCTCCTTTGCCCCACCACGAACTACCGTGAGCCCCCGTGCTAATTACTCCGGCAACCGTCACGCCTTCCCAATACGTAGACGCTACCAAACTCAATCCCGCTTTTTCTATCGTATCGATAAGTTTACGTAGTCCAACTCCACCATCAATAGTGACCGTAAGTCTTTCCATGTTAATATCGATCGTAGAGTCATATTTTTCGGTACTTATGAAGAGGGAATTTTTTGAATTACTAGGACATGCTAGTTTAGGAATTGTGTGTGAAAATTTCGTGACGATTTTGACCTTAAGGTTGTTTTTGTTTGCATTGGCTAATTCTTGACGAAGTTGTTCTTCGGTTGTTGGATAGACGATGTTTGGGGCGTGACATGTTTGTCTATCACCCCAAACACCGTAGGAGTTGGAGAGTTGGCAATTTGAGTTAATGTCATTGCATTTAATCGGATTTGGTGGTGGCATAGCAGAGGAGGTTGTAAAAAGTGTGGCTGTTGAAATCCATAGGACAAGGCAAAGCCACAAAAGATTGGTCATTTTTTAAATTTGAAATCTTGGGTTGTAATTAATGATGGATGGGTGTTTATAAAGATGAGTGATGCTTCAAAGGGAAGTAGAGAGTGGAGGTGGGTGGGTGGGATTTATTGTCATTTAGTATATTAGTTTGACGATTGTTCTTTTAATAGATCGGTCTTTATTTATTTTTCCTTAAAAGTTAATTTATGCTAATAAAGTATTTTTTCCGTTCATTTTTAATTGTTATGGTTTTCTTTTTTAGAGTCAAACTAAAAGAACTTTGACTAACATTTTATGATTATTTTTTCATCGTGTTGATATAAAAAAAAATGCAATTTATAGTACTTTTCATATAGTTTTTGAATATCTAGAATTTTTTGTTTAAAATATCGAATTAATGTAATTTAATTTAACTTTGAAAATTAGTTAAATTGACTTTCAAAAAGCACAACATTACAATTAAAAGTGGACAAAGGAGTATAATTTATGAGATAATTGGTGAAAAAATATAAATTTATATCTCATAAAAAAGTTTTGAAAAATTAAAATTAAAAATCAAAGAAAAACACAAAATAATGGTAAAAGTGAAAAGGACCCCCATTGAGTAAGAGGGGATGTATTTGGACCTTTTACGTAAAGTCCAAATAAAGACATATTTACGATGAATAAATAAAGTCCTGCTGGCTTAATTTATATATACGGATCAATAGTGGGAAAAATGGAGTGTATAAATAATATCAGCCTTTTTTTCATATTAACTGTTGAGAAAATATTATTTATTATCTCAAAAGGAATTATTATATTTATAATTATAATTGTGAGATAACTAATTTTAATACTTGAATGACCATTCATATTCTAATATTTTAGTAATGAGTTGTTACTTTTCAATTCAAACTATTTAGAACTAGGTAATTTGCCCGCGTTTCGCGAAGTCATAAATAATAATTGCATTGAACTTGCACATAATCTTTTACTAATATCCATACATTAAAAATAATGAAAAAAAGTAGGTTCTTAAAAAAATATTAGCAATATTCCCACGTGAATTTGATTATTTGTCATTATCACATAACTCAAGAACCTCTAATGAATGAATTATTCAGGAAATAATAAATCATTGGTTCTTTAATCAACATTACATAATCAACATTAGAGGGAAAATAAAGAAGAAAAAAAGAATATATTTACAAAGGCATTTCGTAAGGAAAAGAACACATTTAAGTTGTATAGATTATACAATTGTGATATATGTCTTGAGAAAAAAATTCAAAAATGTGTTAACAGATTAAAAATAGAAATTACACTTAACATGAAAGCAATTATAACTTATGAACTTGCATAATGAATTTCTTCAATTGATAAGTGAGAAACTTCGTATCTATGTAAAAATGTAAGCTTATATATACTAAGTTATTGTTGACACCCAATTTTGACTCTCCCCGACAATAATTGATTTCTGAGCTTCTTAATATTCAAACGATTTAAAATAATTAGCTATGTCAAATTCAAATAGTTTCAAGGTTAGTGTAAATAATTTCAATCTAATTTTTATAGTATTTGAATAATAACTATATTTCATATAATTATATAAATAATTAGTATATTTTATAAATGTTTGAAGATCATAACAAAAGATTTTTTGCTTCGTTAAAATATATATTTTATTAATTTAGTTTTAGTTTGAATTATAGCTTTAATTTTGAATTAATTAGCTTATTGAAAATCGATTAGTTTATAATTAAGTTAATTATTTTATCTCGTTAAGATTAAAAAGCTCATAAATTAATTATGTTAATTTGTCCTATTTGAATTCTAACCGAATCTTCTAAAATTAATTCATTGGCTACCTTTTTAATCCGCTTGGCTAAATTGTTTATTAGTTCCTATTACTCCTATTTTAGCCAAAATCTAACCTTTTATTCAAACCCATTTTTTAAGACCAAAAATTTGGGCCACTTTGTAGCAGCCCAATACAATTTTGGAAAAACTACAGAATATGGCAAACATCAATATATATTTAAAATAAATAGCTATAATTTTTTTTTATGTTATATGGATATAACTACGCAATAAATAGCAAAGTTAATTATATACAAATAATAGGAAAGTTATTAAATATTAAATAGAAAAATTATTATTACAAGAATAATTAATTATGTCTAGGCACATTTTATGTG